GGTAGTGAAAGTGTGTGAAGAGTGTACAAACGTGGGCTCCATCCAGCATATCCTAATGAGTCACATCACCGTAATATTAATTCATGAGGAATGACGGCACATCTTGCATCCCATTTATCATTCCTTCCGGTGACCTTGGCTGATTTGAGTTCACAGCACCCATATCCGATTCAGATTGCAATAAAAGGTCAAGCTACAGTCCATTTCATGCTTCATATATTATATCATCATGATTTACAGCATCCCTGCTTCATAACAGTGCTTTACAAATCTATGTGAATGCCTCAAGATTTCAGGTCCTTGGTCTGACACCATCAACAAAATACACCATTCTTTTTAAATTAATAAATAAATTATTTATCATATCATTCATTTTTAATGATTAAACAATGGCTTATGCTCAGTATAGGTTGATCAGCATGCTCATTGTTTGTAACTGACTTTAAGGTAGTCTGGACTGAATACTGAAGTGAACACTAATTTTACCGTGGAAATAAAAACACTACTGAAACATTTCCTACAAATGGAAAAAAAGCAATTGCTTCTGTGTAGTACAATTTATACACTAAAGTCCACAGTGTATAGTGTAACATATTATTTGAGATGTTACTTGGAAGTTAGTAACCCTAAAGACCTGTTAGTTAGTTACAATTATGTCATTATTCACTAAAAACCTTCGGCCTTACATTGTGTCCATGTTCAAACGTACAGGTTTTAAATGGCATGACAGTGATGCATACTTTCTGGTGCATCTTTCCTTTTGGCCAATATCTGGGAGTGATTTTTGAAGAAGCAGTAACATTGTCTGTTTGCCATTGCTTCGCTAGCAGTGCCAGACAACTGTGACGTTTGTTTTTTAAATCCAGACACAGATGTAGGCAGGCAGACTGAACTGCTGATTCTATAATGCTGCAGTCTGAGCAGGACAAGATAACAGACACCCAGAAACATGACTCTACAGCAGAATGCCGGATGAAAGAAAACACGTCATTGCAGAGACCAGACAGTTGTGTGTGAGGTGTAGAGGGAAAAAAAACCCATCTTATTGCAAGTTGGACTGCAAAATCTTACTTTTCATTGGATGCCATTTAGAGATCCTCTAGTAGGCTGGTTAAATGGGGGTGGGGAACAAAAAAACTAAATAGGACATCACGCATCCCTCACTTTCATACTAATCCCACTCTTATGGAAGGCAGGATTGTTCACACTGCCCTAAAGGTGCCACCAGTGGAGCTACATTTATCAGAGAAATGCACTTTAAAAACTCCTCTTATTCAGTATTATTGTCCACACACAGTCCCGAGGCTCTCGTGACCACCCTTGACCCTGCACTTAGTACTGGTACTGGTTTCCCATGATGCTTTAATGCATTTTAAAACAACTGATGCAGCCAAGGGCCAAAACACCAAAAGAAAGTCCCCATGCTGAGATACACTCACTGCAGTTGGCAATCAAATTAAAAACTAATGCCTGTGACAACACTCACTATTCAAAGGAGTCAATTATATTTGACTAACTAGAGCACAGTGGTCTGTCGCTTTTCAGTTATGAACCAATATAAAATATGCATTTGATTCTGCCCCACATGGCCATAGAGTGAGTGTGGGTCGAGCCCTGTGCCTGATTAAGTTGTAATAGATTATTGACCATATGTCTCATCAGGAGACCGCATGCACCCTCTCACAGATGGCAGTTCACCTGGGCGCCACCAGCATGGGGAGCTGAACTGAACATCTGCCCGAGACAGAGAGAAGCAAGCACAACAATGGTGCATTTCATCGGACCTAACTTCCTAGTGAATTTCACACAATTCAGTGAAATTGAGTATCAATAAGCTTCTAATAATGCTATTTTTGTATCACCCTTGATAAAAAAATAAAAAATGTGCTTTTGGATTATTGTAGGAAGTGTGACCAACAAAATATTATGCTGTTTTTTTTGTGCACATTTCGTTCATCAAGAAGATAATCTTTACATGTGAACAACTTTTATGAATTTTGAAGCCTAAATACAAATTGGCAGAGGTAAAAAGCTAAAGTTAGGATATAAATGAACTACACCACTGATCTACAAGTTGACAAGTTTAAGTTAGAATAGTCTGCAAGAGCGCGGTATAAACAATGAGGCTGTAAAAGCAGGCTTGTGTGAGTAGATGACATTTAAAGGGAAGGTTCACCCAAAAATGAAAATTCAGTAATAAATTTATGCACCCTCAATTTGTTTCAAACATATATTAATTTATTTCTTCTGCTGAACACAAAAGAGTTTTTGATTAATGTTTTGAAGAATGTTGACAACCAAACACTTGATGGGACCCTATTGACTTTTAGTGAGGGCTCAAAGGTGACAAATATTAAACAGAGGTTTCCTGCCTTGCCCTACACAGACTGAGATTTCTCTGGATTCCCTGAATGTTTTCACAAAATAATGTATGGTAGATGGTGAGAGACCTAAATACTTTGCAATCTTGCATTTAGAAATGTGATTTTTGAATTGTTTGGCAATTCTCTCATGAAATTTGGCACAAATTGGTGAGCCATAACCCATCTTTGCTTGCAAAGACAGAATCTTTAATGGATGCTCCTTTTATACCCAAACACAATAGCCTCACATTCAACCAGTTCACCTGCAAATTGTGGACTGTTTTAAAACAGTTTAACTTGGGTATTCTATAGTCTTTTCACTTTCATTTTGACTCTGTCCCAACTTTTTTGGCATGTGTTGCAGCCATCAAAATATGTTTATATTTACAAAATACAATTAATTTTGTCAGTGAAAACATTTTCTTTATTACTTTTGTCAGTCAAATAAAGGTTAAAGAGAATTACATTTTACATATTTTATCACATTTTACAAAATGTCCCAACTTTTCTGGAATTGGGGTTAAAATACAAACCATTATTTCATTATACTTCAGCATAAACACATCTCTAGACAGGTAATGAACATAATCTAGCAAAAATGTATCATTTATTCATGGCTGAAATGTTGCATGTAAATGTAACAACCAAAGTATTTGTCATAATGCACTTTAAATAACATTAAAAAATAATGTCAGATAGATTTCGGCTCTGCTGTTGCTCATAAATACCAGTAGTGATGTTGTACAAGGAGGACGTGGCCATGTAGTCATCAGTGTCCCAATGTATTGTGAGCCAGGGTCCTTACCAGTGCCTGAATTCATTTATACAATATACTGATTCATGATCTTTGAAGCAAGAGCTGAATGAGACATTTACTTTGGGATGATGGAATCTGAAGTTCGAAAACGCAAACTCATTTCTTGGTTTTAGGACTCATTCCTGCAGCACTCTGTAGCCTTTTAGCAGCAAAATCTGAATATGGCCTGGCTCAAAATTGGGAGGAAATCTGTAGGAGTTCATAAAAGTATGTTTTGACAAATTTTAAAATGGTGGACATGAAATATGCTGCACAGTGGATTGATGAGTATCTATAGAGACGAGGCTTGTGATATTAAACCAGATTACTAAAAAGTTATAATCATTTTAACCATTTTGATATACTGAGATAAATATAAGAGACCCCACATTCAATTTACCACCTTAGCCTGAAGAAATATCCTGAAAACAGATATTGCAGATATCATGGGTGTTGCACCTTGAGCCCTGGCCTAAATTGATGATGATGATGATGATGATATGACTTCTTGATGAAATTAAACCACAAATCATTAAAATACACCAGAAAGCAACAAACACCATTTAAGGCTACACATTAACTTGTCTTAGGGTCACATAGGTTGTGTCACAATTCAAAGGCAACATCCTTCGAAGGACACTGACTTTAAAGGCCACGCCTTTGAAGGTCGGACTGAGGGTTATTAAATGGGGCGGTCTAGTATATGGAGGACTGTTCTTGTCGCCTAGCAACTGTCACAGCTGCTGTTGATGAGTGGCAATAATGTTTGTACTGGACTTTTTAAAAGTTATATTAAACTGTCCGAAAACATAACAGGGTTCACAAACTGTCTAAATAGGTTTACCATGGTCCATTTCTGTATATATTAAAGAGTATAAACTATATATAATCGCATCTTGGTAAGATATGTTAACATTTTAACATATTTTTACATTTGTATCATTAGATATTCGAGCAAGTAGAAACCCAATACTTGCGTTTAAAAGTGTAATTCGTCAATTTCGTCAAAAAACCCTGTCGTCACTGGCGCACAATGAATTTTGGGGTAGGCAAGGCCGTGAATGATCAATCTGTTGTATCCTTAACCCGTTTAATCCTACCGGTCACAATTGTGACTGCATCTTTTTTCTGGAAGCTCTAAAAATGTTGTTATTGGCTTTGGGCAAGAAATTCTACTTTTAAATGAAAAAAATAGATTGTCTTGATGAAAATCTATCAATGTCATGTGACTAGTGTGAAAGGTCACATGACCAGATCAGTTTACTTCCTGCTTGCACATCTAGAAGATGTCTTCCTCAGACTACTACAAAAAGTAGCATGTAAAACATCTTAATTAACAGATCGAACTATCATATTTTGTACATATATTCTTTAAAGGGTCTACTACTAATATATTTTGAGAAGTATACTCCTGCATATATATTTTGCTCGTAAGACATGTAAATTTGCTAACGGTCTAATGCTTATCTAAAATCTAATGCTTCAGAAAGTCTTGATGGTCCATGATGGTCAAGTCCATATAAGCTCTTATAATAACTGCTGTAGTGAATTCTTGATTGTAAAATGGATTGTCTGGTCCTGGATGCTGTTTGGTCAATTTGGCTTTGATCAAATACACAATTGTGCAGTAATCTTGGAATAAAAGCAATATGACACTAAAGGCCATTCTGTATTTTGAATACAATCATAGCTAAAGGGGCTGCAGGCACTTCAGTGAACATTTTGCTTAACTGCAGCCTTTAGCCATGATAATAGTATTCACAAAATATGATGTTGACGGCCAGGGTAGAGCAGAAGCTTTTAAGAAAACCGAGAACATAATGAATATCAAACCAACACAATTCTTTTTTTCCTCAAAATCTTGTTTATTAAATTTAGAAAACACAATTCTGTTAATGGTTCATAACAACAGCAGGAGTAGAGAAATGAAATATCAGTTAGGCAGGGATGGATGGGGGCAGGCCAACCCCTGAGTTTAAAACAGTTTCCTTATCCTGTGGTCGAAGGTCAACTAACCCCCTGAGTGAGGACAAGAGAATGAGGGTAAAAAACTGGGCAAAGGCTGAGAGTGGACAGAGATGGGAAAAATGAGCAGGCATAAAGGGAAGAAAGAGAGAAGTTAGGGGGTGAGCGACCTCAGAATAGGAGGGATCAGGGAAACGTAGTCTTCATAGCAAAACTCTGGAGACTCAGGTAGAAAAGTTGAATTGCAAAGTCATTTGTTGTTCAAGTCAAGGTTATTCCTGCCAAAAGAGACAAAACAAACCCCCTAATGCAATGTTAACATGTAGTTACGACCAACCCTGGGAGTGCTTCCATTTTTCTTTCTCATCGAGGGGGGATGGAAGGACTTTTCAGTATTCACTCTCAGGAGGAGAGGAGCAGAGTGATGAGGAAGAGAAGTGGAATCGTTTGAGGGAAGGGACGGGGTTTTACCACAGACACCATTGAAACGTATATCAGTGGGGAGTGCAAACATTGTCTTTTTCCTGTGGGGACAGAGAGAGAGAGAGAGAGAGAGAGAGAGAGAGAGAGAGAGAGAGAGAGAGAGAGAGAGAGAGAGAGAACAAGAGAGACAGGGGTGCATGTCTATACGGCGATGGAGTTGCTTCTACTCATCCATCTGTATATGTCTGTCAATCAATCAGCCAGTCCATTTTATTCCTCTGTCTCTCTCACTCTCCCTCCATCCATTCTCAAGGAGCCGAGAGAGGAGACTCGCGGTTAGGCGAGCCGGTGAGCGAGAGGTCCTCAGGTGGAAACACCGTCAGTGTGCAGGCCCTGATGCCGCCCAGGGACTCAGGCAGGTCGAACACTTTGTGCCATTCGTCCTTCTCGGGGTCGTACTTCTGGACGATCTCCACCATGCAGCGGTTGTTCCACGAGTAGCCGCCCACAACGTAGATCTTGTTCTCGAACACGGCCACACCCACGTCACTTTGCCCCCGGAGCATGGCCGCGATCGGTGTCCACAGGTCCAGGGCGGGACTGTAGTACTCGCAGCTCAGCACGTCGTCGTAGTCGCTGGTGCCCCGGAAGTGGTTTCCGCCGATGACATAGAGACGATCGCCCACTGTGCACATGCAGTGAAGACCGCGGACCGTCGTCATGGGAGCCTTCTGAGTCCACTTATCAGCATCCGGGTCAAAGCACATGAGCTCCTTCTGGAAGGTGTCGTGGGTTATTCCACCTGCACAACAAACCGCAAGGAGAGTTCACATCACTTTTGCTGCTGAAACGGACACCTTGTGTGCTCACGTTTCTGAAAGCATTAGATATACACAACAAGAAATGAATAATGCATAATGTGTGCACAGAAACTCTCTCAAGGTCTGCTGAGGAAAGAGTTAAGATTGAATAATGCATCTCCGAAAACACAAACACACACAACCAGGTCTGCATGCTCACTCAAAAGAACAAGAGGAAAAAGAAACAGGACATGTCTACAGGGAGGGCTGAAAATAAAGAGAACCATCCCATCAGGCACCTGGGCATCAGCCAACCAGACCCTCCTTCTTCCTCTCTACATCCCTCTTGTTTTTGCCCTCTAACTCTATGCCATCTTTTCCTTTACTAAGAGAAGAGAATGATTCATTGACAAACACACACAGGCTTTCTGACTGTAATTCTCCTCTTTCAGTGCATTTGTGTGAATTGAAACACAAATAAAGCAGAAAGAGGAGAAAGTCTTAAGTGAAATGGTGAGGAAATAGGCAAAGGAGACCGGAAGAGGAGATATTAGTGTATGGAAAAGGAGAGATAATGACAGAGAAATTAGCATGAGGCAGCACATAACACAAGACTGTTTCATGCATGCACACTAGCACGCATGTGAGTGCAGAGCTTAATACTCCAATACTTCATGACCTATATAACAGAGAGAGAGAGAGAGGGAGAGGGAGAGGCATGCAGGAGTAAGGACACAGACACCAGAGTAAAAACAAAAGGATCAGCAGTTCCAAAAATACTCAAGAGAAAGAGGATGGGTGGAGAAGAGGAAGAAGGAGAGAAGTGTGAGAATCAATGTAAATGTGTGTACGTATATCACCAGCAAAAGACTCTCATGCAAGGGCGTAGGAACCGGGGGGGGGGACGTGTCCCCTCCAATATTGGAGACAGTCGCATTTGTCCCACCCAAAAATTATACAGCAGAGGAGAAAATATTTGATTTTGAAATCTTTAACTCGCATGCTTTTATTTTGAAAGCGCAACACAGCGTCTGGTCACCGGCCCGCCCCCTCAGCGGCTCAGACTGTTTGCAGCTGGCGAGTGGCGACATGTCAGAGGTGAAAAGATGAAAAGACAGCAGCAGCTCAGTTTAAGTGATTTCTTTCTCATGGGGAAGAAAAGAAAGAAAGGAAATGTGAGTTGGTAATAATTTTGTCCAGGAGGATAATTCTATTTTCTGTCCACGGCACATGTTTGACAGTGAAAAAATCATGGCACGCAAATTATTGAATGCAGGACTGTACAGTGCTATCCAACTTTTATTTGTGACAGAGAACTACATAGTAATTGATATTTATCAGTTCATTACATCCATTCTAATGTCTTTTTCATTTACCTTTACACACCAGTTAGTTAGTGGAAATGTGGAAGGATATCACACTCGAGAGTAAAAAAAAGTTGGTTTATATGTTAAAATTAAAACGCATAAGATACCACAAAGAAAATTTATTCAGAAAATTTGAATTCAAATTTTGATCAATATAAGTTATTTATTAATCTACAAAATCGGATGATTAGGCCTAGGCCTGCAATTAAAGAATTGATTTGATATTTATCAGTTAATTACTGCCATTCAAAATGTGTTTTCCTTTATCTTTACAAATGTATCTTTTTAGTAGAATAAAGTATGTTGGTGAATGTTTTGCAGTGTAATTAATTTATGACATATTTCTGTTCAAACCATTAACGGATCTGTCAGGTTTCCGATATGTATCCCCCCCCAATGTTAAACTCATTCCTACACCCCTGCTCTCATGCATGAATAAATTTGCTCCAGGCAGAATAAGACAGCGACACAGAGGAGGGGTTTTATATTTTCTGTAATTATAAGTGCTGTTTTAAACAGCAGTTAAAAAACTCCAGAAATGTCACATTGACCAAAACGAATATCATACCTCAGACAACCATTCAGAAAGCATTTAACCAGTGTATAATGTAACATTTCTGAGAGAAAGAATATTTAGCGTGGAGAATAAGATTGTGATTAAGAGTCTATTATCATTTTCCCTATCTACACTGCCTTGGGTGCATTGACTCTCTGTCAATAGAAAACTGTTTTAGAAGCAGAGAAATAAATGATAAATTATATATATTATATAAACTATATAAATTATATAACACACAATTTATCAACCTTTAAAATAATAAATATTGTGCAGTGATACAATCACACATTTGCGAATATTGCGTGGGGTGGTGGTGGTGGTGGGGGGGGGGGGGGTACGGGGTCAGGACTTGATTCAGTTTATTTGTTGTTGATTGGATGGAGGCAGATCTGAATGTTGAGTGTAAGAAAGGGACGGGGTTTAATGTGGTAATAAATCGGATATGAATCGGATACGTGCATTTGCGTGTGCCATGTAAGCAGACAAATCGGATATTCCCCAGTAAATGCGAGTCGTACGTCATTAAAAAGTGACGTCAACTCAGGTGGACACCACCAACTGAGATCACATGACTTATTATAGCGAGATGGAGGAAGATTACGAAGGATACACACAGTGGAACAATGCGGAGGTTTCATGTCTTTTGGGTGTTTGGGGCGAAGAGACTGTAGGCAGAAATGCAGGGTTGTTACAGAAATAAATCCGTGTTTGAAGACATTTCACGAGATATGGGGAGGCACGGTTTTAAGCGCTCGTGGCCACAGTACCAACAAGGGCTCTTTTTTGCTGACTTTTCAAAATATTGTGGAAAGCAAAACACTGGATATTTTATTCGCATCTGCAGTTTTACTTCCTTTTCCGGGTCAGAGCGTCTACATTTGGTAGTTTCAGCGGCGTATAGTGTAAATGCAAAAATCGGATACGGTCACTTTTAAAAGATGATGTAAGCGGGTCGTCAAAAAAATCGGATATAGTCAGAAAATCGGATTTGGGCATCAAGATCTGCAGTGTAAATGCAGCCTTACACCTGGTCTTTTCACGATCGGATAGCTATCCGATCACAGAAAACGTATGAAGTGGCCAGGTGTAAACAGCCCCTAAGTGGACGAAATGATTGGAGAAATCCAACACAAATCACCAGATAGAACTCTGATGTTGTTTCACCAAAAGATCAAGATATGACATGTTGATTAAAATTTTTGAATCTTTTAAAAATTAAACATGCATGCATGAAGAATTCAGAAAATCAATAAAATGCATTTAGAAAAAAAAATAAAGACTTGGCTTTGCAGCTGGCTTTGATGCGGGAGTATAAATATCAATCAAAATATCAAATATAAATATCAATGGTTTATACACCGTTTTTCGGTTACACTGATGGCTAATGGTGCCTGCGTGTGTTCGGAGACATGCACAGAATATTCCTGCCTAGTGCCTACAGTCACACCAATTCATACACGGTGCTCGCACACCACATTGAGGAGTTCAGAATGTTATTAAGAGGTTGCTGGAGGGTTGAATGAGAGTCATCAGGCTCATGCTTGTGTAAGGGTGAATGCTAATGTATGGGGAGGTAAATGTGTGTGTGTGAGCAGAAGACAAAGCCTTGAGCAGCATTATCACAGCTCTGTGTGTGTGTGTGAGATCACACTCCTCCTTCATACCTCAATGTTCTTTATCACACAGAAACACACTCCTCTGATTCATGTCATCACTACATCTCCTCTTCTCGCCACCCTATCTAACCAACCATCTGTCTGTCTCTCTTTCTCTCTCTCTCTCTCCCCGTTTATCATTCTCAGTGAAAGTAGGACTCATCTCCATAAAGCAGGATTTGAGCTGCAATCCTGTAAAGTGAGCATGTGATGGGAACAATCCTGCACAAGGCAGGTTAACACCGTGAGAGAGTGTCTGTGTGTTCCTCTTTTTAGAGAGTTAATTTCTTGCCATCTGAAAATGTTTTTGTGCGATAGAGGGAATACGCGCTGATCTATGGAGGATCAGTTTGTGTGTGTGGTGAGAACATCTCATTCTCACCCTCTAGATATTCCTCTTCCTGTCAGCGACACCTTACCAACTACCTGATCTGTGAAAATGTGTTTGAGAATGAGGACGAGAATGTGTTTGACAATGAGTACATTTTACTTTTTCTCGAACTTGTGCACATATAACTGTTGAATAGGGGTGTCACGATTCTCCAAATCCTCGATTCAATAAAATTTTCGATTCTAAGGTCACGGTTCGATTAGATTCTCGATTTTTACATTTATTTATTTTTAAAGCCGAAACCGGCCAATCAGGATGCTCTCTGTCTTACATGCGCTTCATGAGGCACATACGCAAGGTCTCTCGCTCTCTCCCTCTCTGCCGTGCGTGCGCTATACGGTTTGGAGCACAGTTTTTTCTGTCTCGCATGCGCGCTCTTGCTCGCTAGATTCCGGGAGATTTTAACTAATTTGCGGGCATCAGAGCCGCTATCAATATGTGGGAGACTCCCGGAACTTCTGCGCAGTGGCGGATCTAGAAAATTTTACATGGGGGGGGAAGGGGTGGCAAGAGGTCTTGGCAGGGTGGCAGGGGTAGACGGTGGGAATCCCTATATGTGAATTGATTTAACAAAACAAACACAAAAACACAGTAGTTAGTTTAATCATGCCCTTACTCACTACAAAGGTTTTTAAGGTAACACTTTACTTGAAGGGGTGTGCATGAGACTAACATGACACCTTCATAATCATGACATGACATGTTATTATGAATATGAAGGAAGTTTTATGCATGGTTATGACAACTGTCATTAAGTGTCATTCGCTCAATTATGACATTTTTAATGCAAATATGGTATTGTTTGAGATGTCTTTGTTATGACACCTTGACATTACTAAGACAACATAACCTGTCATAAACATGACATAACAGATTAATAATCAAACTTAAGAAACCACTTAGCTTTATTGGTTAACATTACATTAAACTGTCAGGTGGCTGGTTTTGACATTGGCTGTCATGAAGCCATTATAACTTTTTAATGACAAATTCAATGTGTACCACTGTAGTTGAGGTCACGAAAAATATTAATGGCAGAGTTATAATGCCTCATGACAGCCAATGTCAAAACCAACCACATGACAGTTTAACTTAATTTAATGTCAAGTTGTCATGACAAAGACACTGACAGGTTATGATGTTATGGTTTATGTCAAGATGTCATAACAAAGACATCTTAAACAATGTCATATTTGCATTCAAAATGTCATTATTGAGTGAAAGACACTTAATGACAGTTGTCATAAACATGCATAAACCCTACTTCATATTCATGACATGTGTCATGTCATGATTATGAAGGTGTCATGTCAGTCTTATGCACACCACTTCAAGTAAAGTGTTACCAAGTAGAAAAAGCTAAATGAAAATATAAAAAAAATACAATAATTGTGTCCAAGGACTATTAATGGTTAGGCTCCAGCTACTTTCTTCAACTACTCTTGCCTGCAAAAGTCAATATGTGAAAACCTCTGGTTATCCTTGCATTACACTGTAGGGCCATGTAGCTAATAAGTAGCCTATATAACAAATATAAAATCAGAAACATTGATCACATGCACACAGACCAGTTATGTTTAGACTACTTAATATAATAATTCTAATTGTATTGTTATTTCCCCAGTTGACTGGTTTCATTGCTGTGATATCTGAGAAGAATTGGATTTGCTTAGCTAACGTTAATCAAATGATCGATCTCCTAACTGGCACTGTATTGTGTGTTGTAACTTAACGTCGGCGTAACGGCGACCATCAGTAAACGTTATGGATACAAACAATTTATATTTTTTATTAAGCTGTTCTTGTCTTTACTAAAATAAAAATTAGGCTAATCAAAGGGAAGAGTGCTCTTACAAATCGAGGGAGCGACTTGACCGCTGATTTTGGCTAACGTAACAGACTCGCTGTTTTTGCTGATGCGGAATCGTCTTTAGCATACAATACATTCATTACAAATTTAACTTTAGGTTAAACGTGTTTAACTACACCTGGGGAAACTCACTTCACCTTCAGAGGCTCTGGGGCAGCTCAGTCTCTCCTGTCGGGTTGCAGGGCCAGCGCACCGCAGCAGACTCGCTGTATGTGTGAAACGGGCGTGAGCGAACGCCGCTCTGCACGTTTGAATCAGGGACGTACTAAGTATTTGAGGGGCAGGGGGGAGGGGCTTTAATAAAAATTAAATTGTTCACTTTTGGTAAATGTATCGTTTAGTTCACTGTTTTGAGAAGCTTGCGGGTTGTTTTTACAAGTAGCCTACAGTTTTTGGATCATCAAAGTTAGGGGGGGCAGCTGGGGGGGCAAGGCTCTAGAGTGGGGGGGCACCTGCCCCCTGTAGATCCGCCCCTGCTTTCGCGAGACTTGGGATGTCTGCAAAGTAAACTGTGGCTTTTTTGAAGCGCGAACGTTGTCAACATAACTCACTGGTAATCCAAAAAACGTACACACCTGCGACTTCAATGAAAGAGGAGGGGGTTCAAGTTCTGTCGATTGGTTTCCTGCATCTGCAGTTGCCATGCTATCTTTTGAATGGCTGTAGCTAAGTTAGAGGAGGTTGAACATAGATTTGCAGCTTTTCAACACACGTGTTTTTTCCCCGCTTGGCACGCCGACCGGACGTGACATGGGAGCGTGGCAGCATCAACGATTCCATTTTTTAATTCGAAGTTCGAGATTGTGAATTAATTTTGGTCTGTGCTTTTCTTTTTTTTATATTGTAACTGAAATATGCTACAACGGATCTGATTCAAATCAAGATCTGGGGTGCGTTTCCCAAAGCCAACTATGGTCGCAAGTTCCGTCGTTACCAATAGAGTTCAATGGAAATTGCGATCATAGTTGGCCAACGATGCTTTTGATCCCTGATTGACCAAGCGTTCACACCGCCGCCGGCGAGAGCGGCAAAATTCGCTCTCGCCGCCCTGCCAATGACGCCGTGGAAAGATTCGTGGACGCTCTGACGTAGATCAAATGCTTGGTCTTTTTTAAAACTTTATTTAAAGGGGCCGCAAAGCAAACAAGCATGTCGATTGTTATTTTTGCAGACTGACCAAGTAGGGTAGTATAAGTTAACCTCATGAAATCTTTTAAATGTGAAAGTAATAAATTGATAGATGGAAAGAACTTAACAATTATAGTGACATGTTTGCTAACTACATAAACCAAGTAACCCCCTGGGGTCGGCTATCGCGCCGGCGCGACTGGCTCACTTTTTTTCTTATCAGTGCAAAAGAGACTCAAAATACTCTGTTGATTTTGATCTTACATATAAGTGTTGTACATCATTAGATCCTGTTAAGTGTTTATTTTTTTTGTGGATACTCACAATAAAAACAAAGTGTTGTGTTTTTCGCCAAATAAAGAAAAAAAAAACATGATGCGAGTTCTGCGTTCTCTCTGTCAGTGAAGTCCATTCTGAAACGTGTCTGAAAATGAACTGTAACTCGGCGAATACTCAGTCGCAGGAATACAGGGACACAGGCATGAAGCTTGAATTCTCTTCTTTTAAATGAAGTAATTTTAATAAAAAACAAATATTCTCAGTTTATGTAAACTGTACAAAAAGAGAGAGATGTCAGTCATTTTCTTTTCAGCTCATTATAGCTCATTCAGTGTTAATGTGACCACGGCCACTACGAGCACGCTATTTAAACGCAAATAATCTGAGGCAATCCACGCAGACGTGTCAACAGCTGGATAAAACACATCAAGTTTAATACAAATCGTTTAATTTACGTCGTCTAGCTAAGCTGTGAGGAATAATACTATCTAATAATCCTGGAAAAACTTACCTCAGAAGTGCTGGTAGTTTCATTTCGAGGAGCAACGAATCAAGCTGATGTGAAAGTAAGTTATTTATTCTTAAGTGCTTTGTTCTAATCGCGATATGGAATAGTGTCTGTAAACCGCAAAAGACTATTTAAATATGAATCGCATGTCTGTGTGTGAATGAATGAATGAACGGCACAGACGCGCGCTGTTTACTACAGCTGTACAGCGCGTGCCGTTCATTCACACTCGCACCTACATTAGTAAACATGTTATTTTTACATGAACACCTCTTCTAGTTTAGCTTTGACCAAACTATATTGATATGGCCTACTGAGATGAGTAAAAATAGACTGAAATATGTTGAAATAAAATGTCTTTGTATAAGCAAAAAACTGCAAATTAACATTTATATACTAATATATCATACACACGATATGTTACAGACTAAATATGAATGTTTAGACAAGATTTCGTTGATTAGTTTTTACTGTAAAAAAAAGACTGCCACATCAAATCGCCAATTTCTGCTCATATGTTAAATATATAGTAGCCTATGGGATGTTTTGTCAAAAATAAAGTAGGTATATTGAATTATCAACTAAGATGTTATTATAGTGTTTGTTCCAATATTCAAACTAATGAATCCTTACCTTTGAAATAGGTATGATAAAATATATACTTTTTATAAAGAAAGATTACACTTGAAATATTAGTAAAATTGCAATGGTTGTTGTAATTGTAACTTTTTTTTAGTGTTTTATAGTGACAATTTTGGGGAGAGGATACATATTCCAAGACTTTCTGGAAATACAGTATGAGAATTAACTACACAATTACTAGAAATGTTTACCTTGGATATTATACAATTTGCATGTATACAAAATTTGTGGAAAAAGACACATTTTGTTCAAGACGTTTCCAACTCTTACTTTGAACCAATTCTATGATATATATATATATATATATATATATACACACATAGATTCATTCTACAGAATTGGTTAACAGTCAGATTTTGAAACATTTAGAAAAATTTGTCTTTTTCCACTGGGTACCACAAGAAAGAATGCGAGGACTATATATATATATATATATATAGTCCTCACATTCTTTCTTGTGGTATATATATATATATATATATATATATATATATATATATACACACACACACACACACATTTCTTCTGTCTTCGCATTCTTTGGTACCCAGTGACACACCTGTGTGAAAGGCTCATTATTCAGCTCATTATGCGGCTCATCATGCAGGTCATTGTCTTCTCAGGTGTGAATCAGGGCATTATTCATGATCCTCACAATCATTGTCTTCTCAGGTGTGAATCAGGGCATTATTCATGATCCCCCCCCCCCCCCAAAGCACAAATGTCAGTGCATGTCAAAACATCTCAAGGACCCCAAAAACACCTTAGACCCCAGAGGGTTAAAAGCCATTTGTGTGGTGTGGCTTTTGTGTTCATGGTTAAGTGCTAATCTAATTTGCATTCCTGCTGAAAAACAAGCGTTCTAGCGCGAAAATCTTGCCTATAAATAGTGTTGCGCGCCTTCTTATCAAATTCAAATGATCAACCTCTCCTCTATTTTGCTTGGGAACTAATGTGGTCGGAACAAAAGTTTACAGGACTGCGTTCCCTTGAATCCTCTCAAACAGAGCACTTCTAAATTTCGATTGGTTGCCGCTGAACCGCGTCATAGCTCATTACCATAAAGTTGACCTCAACTTCTCCTCGCCGCTCTCGCCGTCCAAGACACGCCGCGCCGCCCTCGCCGCCGGCTCTCATAGAAAATGAATGACTTCCGGCCACTTTGACGCTCTCGCCGGAGGCAGTGTGAACGCACGGTGAGTTTGTGATTTTTTGTAGTTGTGCAAAAATTATACATGACTCTTAAAACAAAATATTTTTCCATCCGATCAGGTTTCTTGTCTTTAACATTTTGTAAGAAGGATTGTCTGAAGGATCATGTGACACTAAAGACTGGAGTAATGATGCTGAAAATTCAGCTTTGCCATCACAGAGATGAAACACATTTTAAAATAGATTCAAACTGAAAAGAGTTATTTTAAATTGTAACATTTCACAATATTAGTTTTTACTATATTTTGTTAAAATAAATGCAGTTACTGTGTAAGCATATTGAGACTTACGACAAATCATTTAAAAAGTCTTACTGACCCCAGACTTTAGTACAGTAGTGTACGCAAATAAATAACAAACATAAAGATGTGTGACAGGTACCTGAAATATACATGTATCCTCCGTAAACAGTGCCTGCGTGTCCATAATGGGGCTCGTTCATTTTGGCCACATACGACCATTCGTTTGTCCTAGGGTTATAACACTCCACAGTTGCTGGAGAAAGACAAGAGAGAGTGAGAATTAGAGATGGAAACAAAGTCTTGAATGCTAAGAAAAATGACTAGACTAACAGCCGAGTTAATAATGTGGATCCAGGAAAAGGTCTAAAGGGGACAGAAAAAGAGTTCTTCTACATTAGTCATGCTCTCACAAACAGAGAGAATAGGGAAGCTTTAGTGGTCAATTATACACAACCAAACTAATGTTCTTGCATTAGAACAGATGTACGTTTAGACACTGATGCCCATTAATATTGAGGTCCATTAGCACTCTGCCACAGAGATGATGAAATATTAACCATTATTGAGGAATTTATACAACATGAACCAAAAAAATGGTAAAATGACCACTGACGACTTCTGTACACAGAAACCCCTACTTCACCTTGTTAAATATTCACCGAAGACTGCTGGCTGCTCTTATCTAATCTCTCTAAATCAAAGGCAATGTTTTTCTTAAGTTTTATAAAAGCATTTGTCCACACAGATCAGATCACTCTGAGAAGATCTGATACAGCCAGATACATTATTAATATCTGGTGCTCTTTATCTCAGGTAAACTAGAGATATATTAAACCAATCACAGATCAAAGTCTGGCTTCTGGTTACAAAAGATACAAGGGCAAAATAACTTTGACAATATGAAATAAGTACTTATTAGATTAGTACTAAATTAGACTTATAAGATGGGTGACAATTTCTTAATTGTACTTAACATAATTTCACTGTGCACAGGAAGTTAATACTTAAAAAAAAAAAAAGCAGTTTGTCTGAAACTGATCTGTCCATGGTGTGGTTGACTTTTCCATGGAATTGCCCAAAAGCAGCCAGCAAGGTCTAGATTAATGTTTATTACAGTAAACAAAAATATACAGCACACAATTAAATACAGACAGCCTGTTTTCCACTAATGACGACAAAAGGAAAGTCTGTGTCTGTTCTGTATCAAACATACTGTACAACTCTCAGAGCTTCCAAACCCTTTGTATCAGTAAATTAACGAGACAGACGTGCCACTGAGAAGTCTATCCTCAATCTATGATCATAAAAATCACTCGCACAACATTTACTCGATCTTCATGACCTCATACAGACACATTCAAAAGTCAGGCCACATTTCTAAAACAGATGACCAAATTTCTAAAACAAGTTAAACAGGAAATAAATCACTGCATTACGGATTATTTTGCATCTATGTAACAATTATTAATAATCAGATGTTGAATGTAACCATTTTTTCCCATTGAGAGCCTGTGCCCAGTTGTCTGGGTACTGTAGCTTTTAAAATCAATCACTTGTAATTTGTATCTAACTGCATACTGCAGTAATGGCGAGTTCCAGAACACTGGGACAGTAATATTAGACACAGACGTAGTCAGAGTCCTCAAACAGTACGGGATTAAAAAAAAGAAGAATATTAAACTCAAATCAAAGCAATAAATTCCACTTGACCGCCATGATGGTGGTCACTATAGAAACATGGGTGACTGAGTGCTAGGGGCTTGAGTGTGTGTTAGACACAATGTAAATAGAGAGTGTATCCAGAGGGCTGTAAGTAATTTTTTGTGCTTTTTCTCACACTCTCGCTGTGGAAGTGAGCATGTCAGAGTTCATTATCAAACCTCTATAGTGTGACACCTGTATCTGTGCGTGTTTGTCTCTTTCCTGTCAGTTGTGGGCTGCTTTACACATCTGATCATGGACCTGTGTACAAGAGACAGGTTGTGTGTTTGTGTGTATAGTTAAGAGGAGCATTGCTGAGGATGATGGGAAGGCTTTTTTGGTTTATGTGGACACATGCATCTCTATGTCCTGCCATTCTGTTTTGCTATGTGGATTTGCCCCTGCATTTTAATAACCTACATTTCATTGGGGCAATTTTGCTGTGAGAACCTTCACCTCTGGTTAGGCCCCATCTTTGGCTGATGCGGTTATACAACCGTAGCCACCGGAATAATGACTACAAAGCAAATTGTACCAAAGGCAAGATACTTTTTCCACAAAATTTACATAAATCCTGTATACTACTAAAATTTTCTGTTGTAAGCTCTTTTTGCTTTATATATGTGCCTGAACAATCTGATGAACTCAAAACCATAGATAAAGATCGTTGCTATCTGTCTTGAACGCATATTGAAATCATGTATTTTAAAAAGTGTAAACACCCCCTAAGTATAATTAACAAATAAAAGGTAAAATGACAAAACAATGCACCACAGTTACTTCACTAAATAAGTTTGTTTTATGTTTTTCTCCACCACAATTAGGTTTCTGTGAAATCATCTTTAATTTTAAGATTGATAATCTTTTCAAAACCATACAAAACTGCACTCTGAAATAAAAGTATTTATTTGACCACGCTAAAAATGAATAAGATAAAAATTTGTGGGTAGAACCATCACATATCATATAGTGCAGAGTTTCTCAACTGGTTTTACTTTAGGATTTTACATCAGACAGCGTAGTGACCCAAAATTGCTTATAGTACAAAAGTAAACAACAACACCCTTAAAAACAAACTAACTATAAAACAAACTATAACATATATTAATACTACCTTTAACCAGATATGCACAACAATATGCAGTAGCGGGCTCAACATGAAAAAAATTATTTGTAAAAGTCCTTGAAAGTTGGCATGATATGGAAATAAATTCAACCGGTTTTCCAAATGCATCTTTTTTAAAATCCTATTCTGAGCAATTCGTCCATGCTTGCGTTCCATTTTTTTTTTTAATTCAACTCATAATTTTCACCCAAATGTCAAGGATCTCTCTGGTGATGTGTGCCAGACTTCTCCAATAATTTAGTATGTTTTAACCCTGCCTCTTCTTATAATTGACTGCGAACTCACATTTACCCATTTTCCACCAGAAAGGTTAGCTTTCTGGAGCCAGAGCCTGTTCTCGGCCAAGATCGAACCGGCCGAATGTTTTCACGGACTTGAGGAACATAAGGGGCTTGAGTGACAACGCTGCTATGTGTTGTCTAAAATCAAAAGGAGCACGTCCAGGTGTTTGTGCAGGCAGTGCAGCACTTCTGTTTTGCTGTTCACAGTACAGAGGGATTCTAGCGTACTGGCAGCTCGCAAAAACTTCTGGTACTCTCATCTGTCCTTTTTGGAGATATATTGAAACTGAAACCGTTGATTCACTCACTCTCTCGCACGCTGTGTCTCTCTCTCGTGCGCATAGTTTTATATATTTAGATATAAAGAGTAATGTAGCGCAGCGTTATCACATTGCTCAACGAGACCACCACAGACAGTCAACTTTCTGACCTGGAACCATCTTTTCTGCAGTGGAAATGTGCAGAACGGTTCGAGACTGGACACAGGCCGGGAACCCGCACCAGAACAGTGCCGGTACAAAAGGGGTAATTCAGATCTGCCATCCTCTAATCAACATCCAAGGAAACAAGTTGCTGCCCTACATTTTTTTCTTGTTTTACTTAGATGTATGTCACAAAACTTAAAAATGAGCTTCCACTACTTCCGTAATTGCGACTTTATAATACATTTTGATGGTGTGATGTCATGCTCTTAGCGCTCAATAATTCACAGCTCAAAACACATCGGGGTCAGCACAAACCATGGTTATCCGTCTGCATGTTAGGGGTGTAACGGTTCGGATCACGGTTTTAGTGTCACGGTTTCGGTACGTGAAAGAATGTTTGTGAAGAAAAATGACTACTATCAAATGAAAATAAAGAAAATAAGAACAATTAATCAAACTACAAGGAATAGCACAAATAAATACAATAGAGCAAAGATAACAATAAAATAAATAGTGCTTTTTAGGTTTTTCAGGTAGGTCTAAGTAGTTTTCAGGTACAGAAATTGAATAAAATAATCAAATGTAAAATAACACTGCATATAATCTTCACTGTATAAATAAAATAAAGATTATTCCTTATTTAAAGTTACAAAAATTATTCAGTAAAGAGCAGTGAGTGATTTCCTTGACTTTTGTTGTTTGATTAACATTAAAAACACAGACAGTAATATTAGGCTGTTGTCACTTTAAGACAATGCACGGATCCAGTATACTGATACTGTTACACATGCATTGTCTTTCTCGACTGTTTACGTACGACATAACCTACTATGTTTTCTAGGATACTCGCCAAGACGAGCATGTTTTTTTTGTGTGAATTTGTCTGTTCAAGCGCAAAAAGACTTGAAAGCGAACTCAATTTTGTATTTATGCACTCTCTGGGACGCGGTTTTCCATGTGCGTGCTTCGGATGTGTGCACAAAACGTTTCACAGATTTTTTTGGTGTCCACACCTAATTAGTACCGCAAAGACACTCATCTTAATGTTATATTTACAAAACATGTCAACAACTGAAGCACAGAGTGTCCCTTGGAAATCTGTCCCCTGCTGTGACACTAAAATCCTTTCCTGACTCACCCAGCTCTCCTGCAGCGTTTCTCCCGCCCACAGCATATAGATGTCCTTTGAGTGCGCTCAAATGAAAGAAGGTCCTCTTCTCATTCAGACACGCCACCTGAATCCACTTGTTATACCTCGGATCGTATCGAAACACAGTATCCACAGCTGTTTTACCTTTCGTGTCATAGTTACTTTGTCCCCCGACCACATACAAAAAGTTCCCGATTACCGCAATCCCGTGTTGGTAGCGCGGGGCGTCCATGGGTGCCAGTGCTTTCCATTCGTGTGCTTTTTCGTCAAAAAGTCGTAACTCTTTGCTTACAACCAGTTGTTGCCGTAGAACACCCCCTAGCGTCACTAAATGGGTATTGTCTGAACGGATCGCAGTTCTTTCCGACTGCATCACCGGCTGCATGTATGGCATCATCTGGTAGTTGCTGGCTTCTAATAAAAGATTAACACAGGTATTGTCCGTACGCATGAAGTCGACAGTTTGTACGTGGTTTATGAGTTCTGTTGGGCTCATGAGGGGGAATCGGATATTGCGCATTAGTTTGGCAGCATATTCCATGCGACTTTCTTCATAGCGTAACCAGCGGCACGCAGCTTTGAACAGGTCCAGTTCGCTGCAGTGTTTTAGACTGTTGGAGGAGAGCACAAACGCTAGACGTTCGAAAGGAAGTTTGACAAACTCGCCAGTGCCGAGCAGCGAGGGAAAATTCTTTAGGATGAAGTTGTTGACGTATTTGTCTACCTCCGTGAGGTTGTAGGTGTTGGCGATGCGCCCCACTTCTACACAGTTGTCCAACGACACCTAAGAGGAAGAAGGAACTGCGTGTTAGTACTAAAAAAGAATACACAGCAGAATAAAAGTGCTCTCATTTGTGTCCTACCCCAGAAATGAGAAAGACTTTGCAGAAGTCAAGGACAGGCAGGATCTGGAGAAAGCTAGCAGCCTCTAGGGTGTCCTGTAGATTCTCCATGTTGAGAGAGAGTTTGGCGGTGTAAATGAAGTCTATAATCTTCTTTAGCCCTATTCGATTCACACCATGCAGCTTTATACACATCAAATCCTGCTCTTTCATTCCACCTGAGGAAAAAAAGAAAGAGAAATAGGGGAAGAGATGACAGGAGAGGAGATGAAAGCGAGAGAATAATCAGTGCAAAGAAATATTCAAGCAAAACGGATATAAAATAGGGGAAAAGGCAGATGAAGAGAACAAGGAAGAAAAGAATGGAGGAGGGATCAGCAAAAAAACGTTGCAAACGAGCGGATCAAAGGCAGAGAGCAGAGAGTGACAGAAACAATAAGGAGAATGAGAGAAAAAGGAAAAAAAGAGAGAGCAGTAAAGTGAGTCTTACTGCAAGCTGTCACCAATTCTTTTTACCATGATAATGAGCCACTTATTCAAGAGCCACGTTTGAAATAAATCAAACCACTTTCATTAATTCAGATATGATTTCTCAACTATGTGAAGATGGAGAAAGAGAGAGAGAGAGAGAGAGAGAGAGAGCAAAAAGGATAAGTAGAACACAAGGGGAGAACGAAAGAAAGTGTAACAGACAGCAATTATGGGAGTCTTGAAGTGCTGAAACGCTCATGGCACACGTGGTAGCAGGACTTTAATGGGTCTTCAGAATACTACGGACCTATTATTAGATGAACAGAGACAGCACTTTTCTCAGCTACATGCACAGCCAAACTGTAACGCTGTGTCGTAACCTGACGGCACTTTTGTCTGTTCTCTTAGAATGCTGCACACATGACCTGACACAATCACAGCCAATCAGAAGATATTTCATGTATTTATTGTAACATCTTAAGAAGCTGGCTTTTGGGTCAATTAAATTTAATTGGTGTGGCTACCTGCCGCAATGTAGCAGAAATACAAACTCTGCGATCAACAAAATGTCCTGACGCCTGTCACGATGGGTTTGGACAAAAATTCAGATTTACATGGAAAAGCTTTCCTGAGTTATTATTCTACAATACAAGGGATAAACTGTTTATTTGATCAGAATAGAGTTAGGAACAAATTAAGGTCTCTCAGGTTATTATATGTACTGTTATTATATGTAAAAAATTGGTGCATTTATCAGGTGCAGTTACTGGACCTATGTGGGGCAGTAGTCATCATGAATTACTGATTTGCTGCTCAAGAAACATTTCTTATCATTTAATAGAAATGTATTTAACATATTTTTTTTGTGTAACATTATAAATGCCTTTATCTCCCTTTTTTATTTAGTATCCTTACTGACCCAATCACCGGCAATCTTACTGACCCCAAACGTTTTAACGGTAACATACTGAATGGCTAAGCGACCTACTTAGTGTTCATATCACCGTTGTTTAAAAACTGAACTCTTGATTCAGAGTCTTGCATCAATGAATCAATATTTCCCCAGCTCTAGTTAGGAAATTAGAGTATTCCCTCGACACGCCACTCCTTCATAATTGTTTTAGTGCTCTCTCATAATAGTTTTGTGTTAAAAACTCATTCAGGGTTTGGTAGCATGTAGTATTAAATGGCATAATTATTTAGGGAATAGCTGAACTCAATTCAAATAATGAAATGAAGTTCTTTCCATTGAACACATTATCTCTGAACAAGCTTTCTCAAATAACCCCGAGCAAATCTCTTGCTTTCTTATCTTTTTTACCTCTCTTGCTTTGTTTTTTCTTCCCAAGAAACAGAGTGTACTTCTGAGAGATAAATAGAGAGAGATGGGGGAGGGGGGTTGGGGCGAGTGAGGAAGGGGGGGGAATGGAGGGAGAGCTCTGAAGGAAAGTCTCTGGTGTGACTAAACAAGACTGCCATGCTACTGATATTTATGATATCAGACAAAAAAAATTAAAAAGAAAATTTAGAGACAATACAAAACACAAGCAAAAACAATCCAGAGCTGGTAGTACGGTATAGTGCATAACATTGAGGAAACATATTAGCTTTCTCTTCTGTCAAACTTTGACCTCTCAGTCCAAAAAAAACCCTCCTTGTTCCTCCCTTTATCCCTTCCTCACCTGGAAACTTGGCTTCACCTCACCTAATCCTTTGTTATCCTATGTCTTGTTCTCTCGCTCACCTGTAAACATGGCTTTAAAGTAGTCGCTGGAAGAGGCCATCATGGCTCGGTGAACAGGAAACACTTCATCCCCGTCTCCCGCCACCAATGTGACATCACACAGCAGGCCCTCTATCCTCAACTGGTCAAAACCCTGAGAGATGGAGAGAATAAAATAAAACACAGAGGAAGTGAGAGAACTGACAAGATTTTCTGTAATGCACTTAATGAATTCACTGAGGAGCAAAGAGAATGAACAAAAAGGTCTTGAGGAAAAAACAAAAAACAACAAACACATTAAAGCATCTGTTATCACCCATGAAACAGTGAATGTTAAGGAGTTGTATCATTACTATGCATCCCATGAGCGTCATTTCTGAATAAAAGATTGTGGGGTTAATTAATGAACAGGAGGTCAGATGCATGAGGGGACTGCAGCAGAGATGGACTCCCACGGCGGAGACAAGCCATAATTAACAGGATCGAGCAATCGTCCACTCACACACACACACTCTCAGAGTGCCGTGTCAGGCTCGATCCACCAGCATGTGCAAAAGCACATGCCAAGCATGTGCTAGGACATGAAATAAGGCACAATCCAATCAGTGATACACTTACTGAAATTACACATAAGCTTTTTAAGCACCAAACTCTGCACTACACCCTCTGGACTGGAGTTTTACAAACATGCCGCAAATCATGATAAACGTGGAAAAGCCAGCTGGCTGTCTTTACCGGCCTCATAACATCAGCGTCTGACGCAAAATCTAAAACTAAAAGCTTTGCTTGTAATGTGCCTCATTCGTAAGTCAATTTGCATAAATTTAGCTAAATATAAAAAAAGCTTTTGCTGCATCTAATGTGACAGTAAAAGCATTTTGTATTGAGGCATCTACAAATACAAACACTGTGTGTGCTGGCTATATGTATTGTAATAACATATAGCCAACAATTCTATAGATGTATAATAATAACAACAACAATTATTATTAGTAAATTAAACAAAAAAGAAAGACTTTATCTGCAGCCACTACTAGGCTATTACAAATAATAAGCATTATTATTATTGCAATTTTAAACAAAAAATAAATAGAATAAAAGAAACTCCAACCTAAAATATTAATTGTGCTAGTTTTGCCAGCACATTTACATAACTTCTTTATTAGGAAATGTAAAAAACAAAACAAAAAAAAAACATGCTAAAAAAACTAAACCTGCATACTCAGCTAAAACTCTCATTCTGTGTGCGTTCAGAATGAGGACACACAATGCCTGCGGATAAACATCGAATCAAATTAACTGAGTGCTGTTTCCCAACAAATCACTGGAATCAAATTTTTCAATTGATTAATTCATTTGATCATTTTTCCAGGGGTTAGTGATATTGTAGGGGGATGAAGGCTGCTGTGCTTAAGGACGCATTTGTCGTGACTCGTGACAGATTTAAACTGAAAAAAGTCATCATCCCAGATATGATAAGCGGCTGTCATAGTAATAGTTTTCCTTTCATCCCCAACACCAGGGCAAGTGTGCTCGTGACTACGCTATATTTGACATCAAACAGTTATATTATATAATCAACATTATATTTTAATGTTTGGGTGTCCTTAACCATGTGTGCTATGAAATAAAAAAGTTGTGAATGAATAACGCTATGAATCTCCAGCATGTGTCAAGACTGATAAGTTCAAATATTGTTTATCCATACTATCTTGATTTGACAAACTGATTCAAATCTTAATAAACTGCAATTTTAAGTTCACATACACACGATTCCTCACAGCAGCAGCTGGTTGGTGATCAATGAAATCCGTCAATGACATTGTGATGGGAATCAATACAGTGACCCTAACACATTAATGTCAGTGCTGATGCAATCAAGAGATCACGCAACTCGTGAATATGTCTGTGTGTGCGAGTGTATATACACTCTTCTCATGTAAACAAATAGTGAACCTACACTACCATTTAAAAGTTTGGGGTTAAGATTTTTTTGATAACACTTTACAATAAGGTTCATTAGTTAACATTAGTTAATGTATTACCTAACATGAACTAACAATGATCAATACATTTGTTACAATGTTTATTATCCTTTGTTAATGTTAGTTAATAAAAATACAGTCGTTCATTGTTTGTTCATGTTAGTTCACAGTGCATTAACTAATGTTAACAAATACAACCTTTGATTTTAATGACGTATTAGTAAATGTTGAAATTAATATTAACTAAGATTATTAAATGCTGAAGTATTGTTCATTCTTAGTTCATGTTATCTAAGGTAGTTAACTTATGTTAACCATAAACCTTATTGTAAAGTGTTACTGATTTTTTAATGTTTTTTTAAAGAAGTCTGTTATGATCACCAAGGCTGCATTTATTATAATTAATATTGGAAATAGAGATGTGATGGTGATAATATTCTCCCACCGGTTAATCGACTTGTGACAACAACACCGGTTTCATTATTCATTTTTTTTTACATCGCTTATAAAAAGCTGGTGCGGCAGTGTGCACTTCACTTTCACTTTTAAATTAGCGTCAATTCATCCTTCGCAGGGAGTTTGATTGACGTGATCTGACCGCGGATCTGACCGCACCAGTCACGTAACTGAAAACTATGAAAGCCGTGTGACCGCCCAACCAGTAAAAAAATAAAATAAAAATACATTAAAGAAATGATTCCCTCTGATTTTCTGTTTCATTAATAAAGTTTGACTACTCGCAGCAGTCTCGTATGCACTTAAAGCTCATGTGAATTGCACGTATAAAATGAAGTTAACGAACAACCTCGATCAGGATACGCCTAGGTCGCTGAATTTCACTGCGCTTCATGAAGAGTTTTTCTTTTGTGTGAAGAAGCCGTTTGCCGGAGATGTGTTAAAGATAGCGGAGTGCATTCATGATTATTAGGCTACCGGTAAAATAATCCTCCTAGCGCCTGGTCTGAGTGAGTAATTTACTCTCTCTTACCTTTATTCTTTGATTAACATTAATGACATTTAAAGACCAGCCGCTGCTGACAGAGACGCGATCTGACACACGTCCCATTTTCTCACAAATCTCTACGTTCATTTAAGACTTTGTTTAAATCATTTAAGACTGATCTTATGAGGACACTCGACAAAACGGACATTTTTTTGTGTCTGTTATGGTTTGTTCAAGCCCGAAAGAGAACTCGATACTGACGTACGTCTTTTCTGTTGGTCGTGTGTGTGTGTAATAGGCAGGACTTACAGCGCAGTCTCTTTAGTCTTAAAAAGCATTCACATTAATAAGAGCGTGATCATACAACGCAAGTCAACGGGTGACAGAAAAAAACGGATAGGCCTACTGCGTAATTGCGCTAAAATTTAACGCTTTAAACTTTTTTTTTTTTGCGGTGCCATGGTGGGCCGGTGTTGCGACTGATCACCGTGTAACACCGACTATCGTAGCAGGCCTAATATATATGTATATGGAAATAAGGCTATTACTACAATGTCTCTCTTCTAAACTTACATATTGTTACATAAAAGCAGTCATCTAATGAGAACACCATGCATCAGAGCGTTAAATAAATATGAACATATGCACACAAACAGAGGCAATCAGGTGTCCTTCACTTATTGATCTGTCTGAAATGACTAACTGGCAAATTCAAATTAAATTCTCACCTTTGTTCCCACACAAGCACATGCTGAAACCTGCCAGGTGACCCGCAGAAAGGTGCTAATGAATGTTCTCATGGACCTCAGGCAGGACTCTGGCCACCACCGATGATGATGACGTTGATGATGATAATAATAATAATAATATCATCTTTGTGTGAGATATAAAAATAGACTGCCAATAACAGCAGAGATGACCTTCACAGACTCTTCCAAACACAGAGTGGCAGATGGTGACGCCCCACATACCCACCCCAACGTTTAATAAGAGAGACAAATGTAATCACACACACTCACCTGTAAAACCACAGAGCTGTGTGTGTTGCTGGTAAAGAAGCGTGTGTTTCCTGTTTTCGAGGCCTGCAAGTGGGAGGACAGCCCCATTTCACTGCATCCCAGCGACACCTTCATCATCTGAGCATCATCATCCTCCACCAGTGATCTGCCCATCAGAGAGAGAAGTGGGGGGGGGGGGTTAATATGAAGGAATAACCCGTTAAGTGTGAGAGTGGTACAGAGATAATGGTGTGCGAAAAGATCAAATATGTTTGACTGCAAATATGTTTGATTCATTATGTGAAACAGATGTGGGTGCTTCCTGATTCTTCATTTAACACGAGTACAGCACAGAAACCCGCCTCAAATGACAAACATGTAGAATGTTAGTTTCCCACCATCACACAGAGGTTTAACACAATGTGACAACTGACATGAGGTCAAAGATAGGCCTCTCACTAATAATAAGACAAGCAAAAAGGTGTTTTTTTGGGGGGTTTTTGGGCCATGTTAAAGGTAGGGTAGGCAATTTTTTTAATAAACACTTTTTTTTATACTGGCTGAAACTCTCACATCCTGATAGCAATCAGTAATAGAAGTGGTCTAAATATTAAAACATATATCTTCTGTGGAAGTCTCAGGGCCAAAAAAGTCAGAGTTTTCAGTCCGAATGATACAATGACCTGCCTGCCTGTCAACATATGTATATCATACCCCGCTCGCGCAGACATCACATGTCATCAACGTGTTTCATGAGGCTTTGCAGAGTTTGTGTTTTGAAGGAGGCGTGGCTTTGGAGAGAACGCTCTGAAGGGAGGGTGGGATCTAATGCTTTCAAAGCTAGCTTGGCATGCTATTTTCCAAAATTGTCTACTCTACCTTTAACATTACTTTTTAGAGCACATGTAGTGCTGGGCGGTATACCGGTTCATACCGAATACCGGTGTTTATTTTTGTTGTAATGTTAGTTTTTAATATACTGTAATACCGGTGCTTAAACAACGTTCGGAACAAGGCGCGACACTGTCTGAGAGGGGTCTCTTTTCACTGTTGCACTGTGGTGAGCTGTGTGACGGTGAAGATGGATAGGTTCAAATATAATTGATAGCTGTCAAATTATATTACAGTTTTTCCCATACATTGGTTCACAATATCAACACTGCCCGCCACAAATAGATTTTCCAAAAAGCTTTGACATCGTTGAATAAACATGAGCACTGCACGCTTCAAAGTCAAACGCGGCGTGGGTGTTTTTATATGAATGTATCTTTGAAGGGAACTGACTGTCTTTAGAAAAGTTTCAATGTTATTTTCATTTAATCTTTCTTTATCTTTCCTGATAAAGCAGTGTTTATGAGCATTGCTGCTTTGTGTACAGCCGTTACCGGGGAAACCGCTGTCTCTGCCGCTCCTAAAGCGCCTCCTGCTGGCACCTCTTTGTAAACAGCATCATTTTGTGGGGCCTTGCAAACCTGTATTAATACTACTATACTAGCGTGGAATTTCTCTACAATATTCACTCATGACAGTAAAATAGGACATTCTAAGTCAATCTACTGCAGTTTTTCCTCTCGCAATCAGTAGAAAATGTGGTTAACACTCAGTCATGCTTGAAAAAAAAAAAATACCATCATATACTGTGAAACCGGGATAATTTTGAAAAATACAGTGATTTTGGTCATACCGCCCAGCACCAAGCACATGTAAAAAAATAATAATCATGAAATCCTATTAAATTGATCTTTTTCAGATGTTGCGGTCAGGCAGCTAGTTTGACCTTTTCCAAGTCTAATGGTAAAAGAGCAAACGGTCAGAACATTTTAAGATCCACCACTGCTAACAGAAGAACAGGTAAAGTTCATGTCCAGTGTTGAGGGTAGTAACGCGTTACAAATAACGTGCGTTACGTAATATTACTTTTCTGGAGTAACGAGTAAAGTAACGCATTACTTTATAAATGTACACATTAATATTTGAGTTACTTTAAAAAAAAAAGTAATGCGAGTTAGTTTTCAGTTTAATTAATGTGCATTAAAAAAGTACTGAATTAAAATGAACGTAGTCACATAGAATCGCGCACAACGCTAGTCAGAAACGGAGATGGCAGGCCAGAGCATTACATTACTGTGATGGAAGTATTCTCATTATTTTGTAATCGTCGAAGAAAAGGAGAAGGGAATAGTCGTTAAGTGTAGATTATGTGTAGGTGAAAAGCTCGTCAACTGCAAAAAACACCACTTCAAATAAAAAAAAAAACATCTGCATGCAAAGCACAGCACTACAGAGTTGGAAGAGAGAGAGAGCCGAATGATACCTGCACCCCGCTTCAAGCTAAACAACAAAAGCTTGATTTCAGTTCATCAGGTAAAACAATTCGTTCGACTGAACTCAAAATTGGTTGCTGCTTTTATTGTTGAGGAGATGCAGCCACTGTCCACTGTGGAGGTGCCCACATTTCGTAATATCATCAGCAAAATCTCTGTGACAGGGAAAAGGTCGGGGGGGTCTGCTGCCCAATCGCAAAAAATACTCTTAGTATTAGGATAATACTCTAACATTACATTAAGATAATACTTTTTTTCCCCCATTGCATTGCAGAAGTGATATGGACTTGAGGACACTTGTTAGAGGACACTTAATAGAAAACTCAAGAGTTCTGATCTATTGGAATCAACTTATACATGTATTTATGCCATGTGAAATCTTTCACATTTTAAAGCTGACAAATTTTATGTTTAATTGGTGATGTTGTTTGTTCTCTAGTATCATCCTATTGTTCTCTAATAAGTTATTAAACATTTTAAATGTTTAAGATATGTCTTTAGTCTAATATAACTTACTTCATAATGGCAATTATCTAGCCTATATTACACTCTTTATTATCACAATGGACAGTGAATTTACTTTATGCAGTCCATAGTCTACCCACAAGTACAAAAGTAACAAACACATTACTTTCAATAATCTGTAATGTTTATAGATCTTTTATATGGCATGCATCAGGAAGTTCTCAGAATATAAAATTATTCTATATTATTATTCAATATATAATTGTTTTTAAAAGAAAATGAAGGTGTAGGTTATATAGGCTGTTGTTGATTGCATTACTGCGTTAAACAATAGTACAAGAACTTCAAAAAAGTAAAAAAATAAAATAAAATAAAAAACCTGCAAGGCCTGAAAGAGATCAAGCCATAGCCAGGTAAGAAAAGTAACTGAAAAGTAACGCAAAAGTAACGCAACGCTTTACTTTGCATAAAAAGTAACTAAGTAACACAATTAGTTACTTTTTTGGGGAGTAACTCAATATTGTAATGCCTTACTTTTAAAAGTAACTTTCCCCAACATGGTTCATGTCTTTCTTTCTTCCTTCTCTTTCTGATATAACTGAAGAGCATATTTAGTGGGCCAGGGTCACACTTAGATTGATGGCTGGTCCACTCAATTAAATGAGACAAAATAATTTTTTTGTGGGAAAGGAGAAAAAAAAATCTTGCATATATGACAATAACAACAACTCAAATACATTAATTAAGCGGATGTCTCTCCCGAAACTTTGCAGCATGTATGTGGCCGCTGGTCAAGCATGAAAAAACAAAAGTTTTATTTAAATTGTGAACTGATTACATAATCAGCCAGAAAGTCGCTTTATAATCACTAAAAAGCAGTCACTCATCTCACCAAGTTACATTATAATCAATTAAGTGGTCTACACTCTATAATGAATCTCGTTTACATCGTGTCTATGCTTTGTTAATGAGAGGATTCTCGAGCAACAGAAATCAGCACCGAACAAAAACTGCAGTGTTTTGAGCGGTTAGTGGATTCTAACTTAAACACCTCTGATTGGCCATTGCGTTCAAGAAATCAACAGATACGTTTGTGATTGGCTACACTGCTCAGAGCTGTAAAAACACGTTGTAAATAGAATCCTTTGACACTCTCCAGAGCGCAAACACAGATATGCACAGGATCGTTTGCCAAATCGGCGATGGCCAATATGCTATTATTATGGAGAAAACTGAGCCTAGACAAGCAGTTATGGGCAGCTTTTCCCTCTAAAAGGAATCAGAAACGGCAGTAGTCGGTGGTTTGAGTGAGAATTTCACACTACTCTCAAGTCCCAGGACAGGGGAAGGCTTGCCCATCTGTACGTATGCCCAGTCTATGATTATTTATCTTTGTCTATTGTTCTTGTTCTCTTCATTGGATATTTTATTTATTAATGGATTTTTAATTTTTATGATTGATGTAACCAAGGTCTGCTCATTATAAAATATCTGGCCTTGCCACTGCACTGAAGACGACTGGAAGAAGGTTCTGTGGTCTGATGAGACTAATGGCGCTTTTCCACTGCATGGTATGGTACGGTTCGGTACGGCTCACTTTTGGCGCTTTTCCACTGCATGGTACCGTTCGGTATGGCTCGGCTCGGCTCACTTTAAATGGTACCACCTCGGTTGAGGTTCCAAGCGTACCGTACCTATACTCACTGATTGGTCAGAGAGAATCGTTACTACCAGCATCATTGGATTTGCAACACGAAACACCAAACCCGCTAGATTTAAATAGTCATTAACAGCCACCACAGTATTATTTGTTTGCACAATTTTTATTAAACGACTTGCTTGAAAAAAGAAAAAAGAAACTTGAAAAAAGAAATGGCTGAATCATGGGGACTAGTCAGTAGATGAGGTGCAGTCGACGTTCCTCTCGTTGGTAGCCGAGGACGAGGAGCGGATCCAGCTGGATATTGCGACCAGGAATTAAAAAGTTTTTCAGCAACTTTAACGAGCAGTCTATAATACATACATACCACCCACTTTGAAGCGGTAATAAACTACAGTGGAAAAGCAAACCGAGACAAAGCGAGCCGAGCCGTACCATGCAGTGGAAAAGCGCCCAAAAATTTTTTTGGGCAATCGTATTAAACACCATGTTTGGTATCCGCCATAAAACTGACTCAGAAACACATCGGCTCCACTGCGGTGGCAGCATCATGCTTGGGAAATGCTTCTCTGCACTCCCAGAAGGCTTGCACGGGTAAAATGAATACAGTAAAATGCATAGTAATCCTAAAAAAAGACAGAGTCTGCAAGATGCCTGTGATGGAGGATTTATTCTCCAGCAAAACAATGACCTGAAACGAAAGCCAAAGCTAATCAG